CAGAATACAACATAAAGCTTTCAGGTCAGAGTCTCATACAGCGTAAACTGGTATAGCTCTACTTGTTGGCATGACTTCCTTTCATTGCCTTCAGCAGAGACGCAATAATTCATACCAGATAGGGCTGTAGTCATCGGTTTCTGAGGGTCAGTTCTGCAATCTCTTGCAAGAATATGAAAGGATATGAACAGGTGTCCCTTCTCACCTGCATTTCTTTTCTAGTAATTCTCCCAATCTAGTCTTCTGACCCTGGTCTTCAACTTGAATTCCTCAAAATCTAACTGGTTGGTATTGACTTTCACACCCCTGGATGAGCTTCATAGTTTAACCGCTTATAAATTGAGAAATATATGAGCCAGAAGCTATTGAACAAGGGAACACAGAACTGCCCATTATTCCCTCAATCACAAGCACTTTTCAAGCTAAATCTGTACTTTAAATATCACTTCATTGTCTGGTGGTACTTGTTTATTATACAATAGTTAAAGTCTCTAATAATGTGATGTTTCATTCTCAGGAAAGAATCTTCAAATTATCACTCGGGGGTAGTTTTAATGCAAGTGACACATTGTCATCAGTCTGCCTTCAAGATTACAGGCCTGGTTAAACAGCAGTCTTAAACAACACCAAACATCCAGGCTCAGGCAGTTCCCAGAATTAGGAAGAAAACAGTCAGGCTGGGCACATGTACTTACTGCAACTACAAGCAACCATCTTTTCCATTGAAAATGGGGGCACTGCTGGAAGTGGACCTTTTAAAGTCTAAACATATGACTGAATTGTAGCTGTGCTCCAACAAGTTCAAGAATTAAAACAGTACCTTCATCCTTTTCTGCATGAACGACTTTTTTAAAAAAACAGCAAAACCCAGCACAATCTCACATGAACTATACATTTTGTACTGTTTTGCCAATACTACTCTTCTGCCTTCCCTTCTTCCCTTTACATTTCTCTCCTTTCCCTTTCTCCCTTACTGCCAGGCCACCTCATCTCCCAATTTTCCTGTTTCCCTCTATCTTCACACTGAAGGGGGGCTGCTTCCTCACACTCCCCACCTGTTTCCAGAGTAGCCTCTTTGGCCAAGAACAACTGTGGGCTGTTGTGCTTTGCCTCTGAGCTGATCTCACGCAACTGAAGCACCATGATTTCTGTTTCACCACTGAACAGTGTAGTAGGAACCTATTTTAACTACTGTCAACTGTTTTACCATGTTGCATTTACTATGTGAGCTATTTTAATAGTTGCAGAAGTCAGTTTTGTTCAGCTGTTGTAAGAAGCCGCAGCCCTGCACAGCAGAAGAGGCTGGATATGACAGGCTAAGACATACACTAAAAGCCCCTTCCAAATGGTTGACCATCAGCAGATCAAAGGTACCAGAACCACCTTATGGCCTTACTTTGTGCACGTCTAATAGCTGCCCGGTACCCATGGTGACTACGAGAAGTAATAGCAGATGCTCAGGTGTGATAGTGATGTTCGTGCTGAGAAGTTTGGGGAGTTACGCCAACTTACTGCGTGTTGCTGTACAGATGGGAGTAGTAATGACAGTGTTGATTTTGGACAGATATGACTAAAGGCAGAAATGGAAGAACGTGATTCTTAGGAAGCAATACACTCCAGCAGCAGAATCAGAGGAGAATCAACAACTTAGAAAGTTATGCTGTTCAGATGCTGCCACTTAAAAAGACAAGGAAGTTCTTGACAGAATCTATAATTATCTGGGCAACATTTTGTAATGAAATCATTCTTACTAAAGGTAAAGTAATAGCGATTCTTCCCTTAAATTCATGAGAATGCATTGCAAGATTGCCACCCATTTTGTTTTTTTCACTGGCTGAACATGCAAGTTGCTCTACTCAGTGGATGGTATTATAACTCCTGAAGTGTCCAGGCTTCTGGTGACCAGGACAAAATACGGCTAACCTGGGAAGCACTCTCTGAAGACAGAAGGAAGGTACAAAACATACCTAATCGTGAATTCTAGTTTTTCAAGTGCCCTCTGCCTTTTCAGGCCAAGCCAAATACCCTGCTGTGAGAAATTCTTTCTCATTAGTAATATCAGAGGACTAAGGAAACAGACAGATTAGGTTCTCATTTTCCATTCCATCCTACTATTTAACCACATGTAAAATTTGCATCAGTTTCTCTATTTGTAGACCAGTACTACAAAATAAACACAGTTAATAAAGCGCTCTAAGATACTTGCAGGAATGAACTACGAATATGCTAATGTTAGTTATGGTAGACATATGGAGTGGATTGCTGAAAGGTCGGGGAATCTGAATCACAGACGTCTTACCATCACTAATTCTGATGTCTACTTAAAATGAAACTGAAGCACTGCAGGGAAAATTATTTCTTATCATTTCGTTGCAATATTTGAGGATATTTCCTCGCCATTTTCTACTGCTTTTAATTATGAAGCTACACATGATGTTCTTGATATTGTCTGCAAAATACGGGGCATGGATTTGTAACGTCAGGTATGCAGTCCCCTTTCTGTTGACTTCAGTGATTTCTTTCTTGTACAAAACACGCTAAAAGGAAACAGTAGCTGTATGGACAATTCTGAAACTATTACTTGATGTCACACACGCCATCTAAGCCATTCCCCATGCAAAAATATGAAAATCCAAAAACATCTGAAAGAGGTTAGTGAGGAGAAAAAAAGTTACCCAGTTTAGAAGAGAGGCTATAATGGTAACTAAGAACAGCAACTTAAACTGTGTATGAGGGAATGGCTCCTGGCAGCCAGATATATTAATGCACATCTAGATGCAATTGTGCAAAGCCCTCCATGGTGGCAGATCTAAAACCGTAAATGGCATAGCTGCAACAGTAAAACTTTGCACCAGAGCTAAGAATGGCATCACCAAAACCCTCAGTCAGACGAGCAGTCCTGAATCAGGGGAATAATCTTTTTGATCAATCTATTTTGATAAGAACTACCAAAAGGGCAAAATACAGCATTTCACCACTACTAGAATAAAATTAGCATCTCATCAACATCTATTGTGGTTATTGGCAAGTTCACTAAGATTAAAAGGAACATTTATTCAAATATTTCCAATATGCTAGAGGAACTGTGAATGGCTGCAGCTCTGCTTAAGGAAGAGATGCAGTATGTGCAATAGAAATCTCGTAGAAGTATGCCAAGTAATGATTGTTAGTGCTTTCCCTGTTAATAGTGTAATACCTAACATAGAGAAAGTCTACTCCTCTTTTAAAGAAAGTTCTCACTCACTACTGGGGTCTTGTTCATATATGGGCCTTTTGGGGGGGTGTTTTAACATTATTAGTTACAAAATTAAATAGATAGTAATGGCAAGGAGACACAACATTGTAATTATGAAAGGAGCAGAATCTTGTCAAAAAAAGTTTCCCTTGCCTCTCTTCCCTCTGCCATTTATTTGTTGCTATCTCATTTATACAGAACTTCAGTGGATATACAAAGGTAGTTCTTGATCTGGTGAATACTGAACTGTCTTAACTGAAGTGACTGTTGTTGTTGTTGTTTGTCTCTTAACTATAATTAAAATTTCTAATTGGAATTTACAACCGTGCCTGTAGTGTGTTGTTACCACAGATGATATGCCAGAAGAGAGTTATGGCGTCCTCCCAGAAGATGAAGAATAATGACTCTGGCTCACAGGTGAATCACACAGTTCCCTAGCGAACACTGAGGACTAGCTTAAAAACCTCCTGGAGGCAAACAGTGGTTACCACATAATTATGTGACAAATAAGCCACAGCCCATGCAGTGAGCAAGTCTGATGGATGAGATTTTCATATATGTTTGTCTTCATCATTCATACTTTACTCAAGCATGATGCCACTAGTGATCAATATTAAAGGCCCTCAGCAAAGGACGCCAGCGCAGAACACAGTGCAGTATGTGTAACTCGGTAAGGAAGTACAGAATCATATCTGCCTTTCACCAAACTCATGATTCCAGTTCACTATGAGATCCAGGTACAGAGGACAAGACTACCTTTTTTTGCTCTGTGTTTATTTCTGAGATATTAGAAGGATTCACTTGCTGTATAGTCAAATCACATAACTGACAATTCCATGGGTAAAACAACATTCCATAACTTAAGCGTAATAGCATCCTTTCAAGAAAGCAAATAGACAAGGTAATCAGAGAAAAAGATGATTCAAACTGGAGGGATTTTTCACTTTATCCAATCACTCCCACAAATACATCCATTTCCTTTATGTCATTTTTGCTTATGTTACTTTTCAGCGTTAGATTATCTTCACATCTGTCTTTGACAGGCATGTTCTAGCCCATGCAATGTTATTTTTACTATCAAGATTTGCCTAGAAACACTTTCACCTAGGCCCACACGCTTAGCCACTTGGGGAGATACAATGTCTTAACCCTCTTGTTTGCCACATTAAAAAATCTGGCTGTTGTGTAAGAAAATGAAAAGGTTTTGGTAATTGGAGTCTTTGGCACATACTACAGTAACAGGACAACAGCAGAGAAAGAAAAAAAGGAACTTTAGAAGAAGGGCTTTCACGAGAACAGGGTGACAATTTGACACAGCTGTATGGTGTGAAGAAGGTGGCTGTACATTTGTGAAAATGAGACAGTAAATATATCAAGTAACAAAGATGTTGCTTCGGGTAACGTGTAAATAAACTGTGAGCATACATATGTATGTATGTAAAATGTTTTAAAATGAATTGTTTCATCCATACGACATGCACAGCTAAAGATCAGAAATGAAAGCTCTTATTAACCAATATGGATCAGTGCTGACTCTCGTATTCCTTAAATTCTTTCAAAATGAATAAACAAACTCACTGTCAAAGCGCTAATATACCAGTGATTCTCAGTTTATGGCAGAAAAACATTCTAGCTTTCTATAGAAGAGCTACTAAACAGCTTACAGAGGTATTGTGGCAGGAAAACAATGACAGGTACAAGATGGTCCCTCCTACACAGTCTACTAAAAGCAGCTGCAATATAAGAGATCATTAGACAAACTAACCTGTGGTGTCATTCCATGGCAGATATACATGATTGGAATATTCTCCGTGTCTGGCCCTTGATCAAGGCACAAATCACTTTTCAGGGAATTCTGCAGCTAAAATAAACAAAAAGAAAAAGAAAAGTCTTACATGAGAAAAAGATGGTGTGATTACTTTATTTTCTTTGAAAAAAAAATCATACACAGTTGAGCAAGGAAATACGCAAAATTACAAATACTTGTTGCAGTGAAGATATTGAAGAGAAAGCACCTGGACTAAATTCTTCCTTGTAGATAATCTAACATTACTGATTTCAATAATATCGCGACAAGGTTTCAGGGAGGGTAGGTTTCAAAAAGAGACAGCAATAATTTTTTACATACATTTTTAAAATACGAAGTCTAGTGAGTCTCTGGTACACACGATATACAATATATATACACTATATTTTTAATAGGGCAGCTAGCTGAGCATTATGGATGGAGTTTCAAACATAGGAGAAAGCCCTGTAATTGAACAGCTTTTCAGAATCACTCAGGAGAGTCTTCTGATTTCTGGAAATAATTCAAAAAAATCCTTTCTGCTGACACTTAGAAATTCTGGCCAATTGGTATGCACTAGCTCTTCTTTGCATTATCCCAGGCTAACCCACGCACAGCAACCTAGCTATGAACAGACTGCAGAGTTCTCGGCCCTGTTCATCACAAAGCCCTATATATTACCTGTGCGATGCTGAGACAGAATTTTCTGAAAGTGAAGTGCTAAATTAACGAGCACAGATAGCTGGAAGGTCTTTATAGAGTGTGAGCCCAAAGATGTGGATTGCATACCCATGGGCATGTATAAAGGTGTTCAGTGGTATAAGATCAGCTCAGAGAACATGACAGAATTGTCTGATGGAGGGAATGAAGAGGTGATGTGGTTTGCAACCATCTGTAATTAACTCAGCAGTCCCGTCAGCCGTGTACGGGGGCCTCCTTTGAGGAAAACAAATTGATATGCTTAGAAAGGAAGTCTAGAAGTACACTGCTATGTAAGAAGTGTGGACAAGCCAGAGACTGAAGGCAGGCAGTGAATAAAATCAAAACCGGGAACTCACCTCTACAAGATTTCCAACTACAAACCTAACTAAATTCAATAATAGACAGGACAAATCTCAACATCAAAGAGAAAATATGCACTAGGTATCAATACTGGCCTTATTCTTAGCTGCAAGCCTTGAGAATTAAAGTTTCCTCTCAAAGCTTTGTATTTCCTAGCCACAAATGCAACCACAAGCGTGACTCTAACTGTAATCAGATGTTAGCCACCACACTCTATCCAAACCAATGATAAATATCAGCCTTATTAATTCATGCCTGGATCCATCAGTTCCTTGGGCTTTTCAAAACCTCTTCCACAAACTCATATTCTAATGCTTGTTCTAGCCCTAATGTTGTAACTTTTTCCACCACAATCCCCACAATAAAGGAAGCAAAAAAAATCTGCCTTGACCAACGCCAGTCGTTGTCTTGTAAACCTTGAAAACAAAACAATAAAATGAACTCTTCAGATTTAATTTCTCCAACTCATATCCCAATCACAATTCTACAATTTACTTAGAATATCTGTAGAGAAATGACCCCTACAGAAAACAGAAAAACAAAAGAGCCACTGGCCAGTTAACTAATAATGCTGTTTCAAAATCTGAGGCCCGCAATAAAGGAACCATCCCTTTCCAAAATCTAGTGGCTTTGTGGCAACCAACAATTAACTTGGGTTTTAGACTACCAAGATTTAATCTTAATTACAACCCAAAATATAACAAGGTCACCTATCCCCAGGCTGAAAACCAGAAATAATTAGTCAATACTGCCCTTTGCTCCCTTTCAAACTTAGAGCTTTACAGCATATAGAGATAAACTAGACTACTGAAATTTTGAATTCGCAAAATTATCTCAAATGTCAAGCTGAAATCAGAGAGCCAGTCCCTACACTAAATCCATCAGCTTTTCGCCCACCAATATCACTTTCTCCTAACTCTAAGGGTACTGCAGAATTCAGAAAGAAATTTGGTTCCCAAACCTTTACTCTGCCACCAACCCTAACCCTAGCTATATGCCACAGCATAAACTAGACATGAATGATACAACTATTTTCCTAACTCTCACAGAACAGGAAATTTAGGATTCAGGAAATAAATATGGGTGGTGACACTGTAGATGGCTATATCCTAACCTGCACCCCTATTCAGACAACTTTTGTAATTAGTCAATATTTTTTTAAATTAATGATAATGCTATAGTAGCAATATCTCTATTTTCTGCAAAAAAATGAAGACGATGAATGGAAGCACTGAAGAGAATCAGCAAGCAGCTGATTTGCTTCGAAATATCACAACTTTCTCCATTGGAAGACACGCAAGTGAACAGGAAAGCAGACATGACGGAAGATTAGAGATACAAACAATTCTTTTACTAAAAAGATTGGCGCACTTTATCTTTTCATTTCATACAACTGTATTTATAAAACAGTAAGCTGTGTATTTCATCAAACACTCCCACTTTACCTGTACAGACAGGTTGCAATAGCTGTCCACTACTACTTTTGTGATGGTACAAATAATGATGAAGGCCTACTCCTCACATCTATCTTGGCTGATAAGGCTACGCTCATACTGCAGACAAAAGACTGCATCACGTGCATTATTATGCGGTACCTAAATATGCGTGTTCTGCTGACCAGTTGAGTTCAGTGTTTCTGTAACAAACTCTTCTGATTCTTTTTGGTTTGTATATTGCCAGCAATGAACCTTCAAAGGCTGATGAAAAAGTCTCAGCAGAATATAAAATCACAGGGTGCCTGTTCGCTGATTTTCGGTTTGACTGACCTGATGCAGAGTTAATCCTGTCTTCCTTTTTTATCTAACATCACTTCTACCTGCAATCAAAGATTTTTTAGCCAGAGGTACCTACAAGCAGAACCATTAGCTGCTATGCCTCCTTCTCTTCAGGAAACTCTGCTCCTGATTAGATCATGGCATCACTGAGGGCAATTCTACACAGTCTATGGGAGAGACTTCCTTGCACACTGGTGTGATTTTGGTAATGTTTGGCATTGAACTATTTTGGAAAGTAACAACACCCTAAACCTTTGTTGGAAGTGTTTTTCTTCTCTTTTTTGATTGTATGAAAAGAAAGCATGATAATTTCAATTGATCATCACAGGGGTCGTGGAACACTGTGGGGCATACAATCACTTTGTTTGCCAAAACAGAGCAGCTGCTCTATGGTACCCTCAAGGGTCTTCTCAGAGCCCTGCTGGCAAGCCACACAACCCGGATTTCTTTTTAAGAAGGAACGTCTCAACCCAAATCTTTCACTTGTATGATCTGCTCTTACTAGTTACATTTCCTAATTGGGACTTGCACACAAAAAGGCAAACTTAATTCACAGCAATCAATTTTTGTGAATATGACACTGGATAGAGAATGTGCAAAGGACGTCCTAGTTCTACTAGCTTATTATGGGCCCATATTAACTTGCTATGCTCGTCTTCATGTCATGCACACCTGCCCTCTCTTTTCAGATTGCCGGTTTTCTAGGGGCAGAATTGTCTCTGCTTTAATTAGCACAGTACAAGTCAAGTGTGATTTCAACATAGACAAGGGTAAGGGTACTACTGTCACACAAGTAATGATGATGATGATCTCAAAATACAGGCCTTTGAGGTTCTAAATTAAGATCTGGCTACAGTATCGAGAAGCTTGCAGTTGAAATACTGAGCCTATTTTGTTAATTTACCTGCTGCCACACACCTTCCAACTGACAGCTCCAACGTGTCTGAAAAATTATGCCTTGAGTATCTGAGTGGAATGCAAGCCATGAAACAAATGAAAAAAAAAAAAAATCAGGGATGCAGATAACATTCAGAACACCTCAGCAACCACTACAGCAGAGCAGCTGTCTAACAAACCAGTCTAACAAATTATTTAACTAGTGACTTCATGTTTACCTGATTCTTCTACTTAGAGTCAGGCACTGTCTTCATGAATTACTCCCACCATACAACTTTCTCCCCCACCTTTTTAGAATGGAGAATGCAGATAAGATCCTTACCACCCCATAGGCGACAGTATCTGAATACATTCTCATTTCTGGATACACGCTGACAAGATACCACCTAAAGGTCTTGCACTGGAGCTTTTTCCTCAAGGCCTTCCTCTCAGAAATATCACCAATATCAATTCCGGAGTCCTACACATAAAACAAAGGACGGAAAAAAGCAGAAAAGACATCAGTGATACACTTCTGTGTAAACTAATCATCCAGTCTCCCTCATTGCAAAGATGATTATGCTCTATGATAAATATCAGCGTTTGGTTGCGGAGTGAGTCTGTCACCCACACACACTCCACAAGTGCCCCAATTAAATATGATACAGGTCACCATGGCAGGGTCTCTTCCAAAGTCTGCTTTGGTCAATGGAACCACTCCTATTGACTGCGGTGGGGTTTAGATCTACCTTCCAATGAATATCACTGTTGTTCTCTAATTTCCTGGCACTTTCCAAATCCAAAAGTAATTGGCAGTAAGTAGGAAGTTGTCCTAGAAACAACCTTATTGCTGGCATCCCACTGTGGCCTAATCATTAGTATATGACACTTTCTGGCCATTTCTGAAGTCTGGGTTTACTGCTTCACTGCAAAGAGCAGAAGCTCTGCTCACCTTTCTGAAATATCACTTATTAAATTTCTCTTGTAATGTAAAAAGGGAAGTTGCTATTTTTGTTAAAAGCAATTGCACAATATTCTCTCCCCTAATTTTTATTCTCCTTTACATTTCTGGCTAACCTAATTTCTACTTATCATAAAAGCAGATCATAAAGCATGAATTTCATAAAGTCCCGGTATATAAAAATCAATAATTTATCACATTAAAATCACACAGCGGAAATTTTTAGAGAGGGATCTAAGTGCAAATCCATGGCTGCTATTTGACAGGAAGTAAAATGAGACATTTTGCTCCACACTGTGCTCTACCACTTCTGCCTCAGAACAAAACGCAGGATAAATAAATTTCCACAGGGAAATCCTATAATCTATCTACTTAAACAACAGCCTTTACTGGGCCATAAACACCCCAAACATTTTTTCAGCCAACAAGATATGATTTAAAAATAACATTGGAAGCACTGAATTTTCTTAGTTAACATCAAGAAGGTATCTTTACAAGTATCTAGGTTTCTGAGCTGCTGAAGCAACGACTGCTTCTTACATCCCAAAGCAATGAATTAATGTGAATCTGGAACAAGTATATTTTATCATGGAAGCATTTTCTAACTAAAGTAAAATTGACTTCCACATTAGCAAAGCATACTAAGAAGTAGGAAACTGGGGTCTGGTATAAACAGGCATAACTCAAGTTAATCCTTAAAAATGCTGACTCCCCTCAAGCCCTACATAATTCATAAAACTTTATGTGGAACTACTCCTTAAGCGATTATTTTTTCCTGACTTTTCTAGCAAGTGACTAGATAGAGGGACATGCTGTAGGGTGCTGTAAGACAATCAACTGATGCCACGGACAAATCCCGTTCACGCACCACTCCAGCTGCACTTGCACTGGCCAGTGTATGTGCCACTTGTGTGAAGGAAAAGGAGGATGCCAGCACACAGACATCCGACTTCCAGCACTAACAAGGCTTCCTGGGATCAGGTACTAAATTGGTCCAGTGTATCCCAACTCCTTTCCATGCAACCCTGCAGGCACGAATGCTTCTTTCCTCACAGTTTATTGCATAAGGTAAGAAAGAGCCTCTAGGGCGTCAGTGATCACATCCTCCCATGCAGCTGGAGAAGGAAAACAGCTCACAAGTAGCACTCTGACTTTATCACCAGCAACAACTCAGTGTGTTCTCCAAAGCTGAGAATATGATGCGAGGAAAAAAAGAAAAAAACAAACCCCAAAACATAGGGGAGGACACATGAGCACAGCTCTTGCTTCTGGGACTCGAAAAACCTTTCATTTGTGTTTTAACTGCTTTTTCTGAAACTATTTCTCTAAGTAGTTTGGATGCAGAAATCACCATGGTATCTGAGATCCCCATTTGAAGCCCTCAGTACTTCAGAGCCACCCGCAGAGATCCCAAGAGGGCAGTCACAGCACACTGCCAAATGGGTCTAACTCCTTTTTATTATTATTGGTTCTCAAAGATTAAAACCTTCGCAAACATCTGACTACGAGGCTTCTCAGAGATCTGGGAATTCTTCCATGGAAAAAAAACAGGTCCTGTGGTTAACATTTTGGAATAACATATTTCATGGAAAGTCCCGACTGTTAGAAGTGAATACGTTTCTATTACCGACACAGTCCATTTACCAGTGCGCTATTTCATCAGCTTCCAGATAGAGAATTACTCCTGTAGTTATCCACTTGTGTAACAGTATTTGGCTGTGCTATCTGGCTGTCCTCTCTGCATGTCTCTCCCAATGATGTCTGAACATTTTTTTGCCTAAGCTGAAGCGAGGTTTGATTTGAAAATTGTCCCTCTTCAGTATTTCGCATTTAATTTAATCTTGAGGTAAGCAAAGATGAAACAGAAATATTGCCATCCAGTCTGATATCTAAATTTGACCTAGTCCATCCCCAGCCTTTCTCATCCACCATCTCTTTGCCCCCTGCCTCCTGGGAGTCTGTATTACAAGTATCCCACAAGCTTCAAGTTATTTTTTAGGCTGCTCCTTTTCATCTCAATACTTTCTCTTTCTACTATGTTTCTATACCAGCCAGGCTGCATTGCTCCTGACCTTTTGATGTATAAAAGAGGACTCCCACTGATGATGAAGGTTTTCTTTATACTGACTGATTCAATTACAGTGCTTGGGAGTGTAATTTTGTACTGTATTTTCCTCTTTCCTTTAAAAGGCCTGAAGGTTTCCTTAAACATGTACTTGTTTTCCTACTGCTCTAGAATCAGTTCAGTACTCCCAAAGTTTAGCACGGGAAAGGAAAAGGCTTCAGAGCTCTTTCCATGATTCCTGGCACCAGGCGTCGCACAATGAACACAAAGATGCTTAGAATAGCTTCAAATTACAAAACTGATTTGGGATACTTAAGCACATGTCAAGCTGTCAGAACAAAACAGAGCCCCAAAACTCTTCTAAGTCCTTCCCACATGGCAAAAGATGGAAGCTGGGTGAACAACATTTGAACGTATCCAGCTGTAAGTCACAGACCCGATCTGACAGAAAAACCTTCTGATGGTCACAAAGGTGCCATACTGTCTCTGAACACCCTGTAGCAATTACTAGGTAACGAGCAGATTTGGGCTTTATAGACATGTTACAACTGTGAAAACTAAGCTGTTTCCCAGTATATTTTAAATAAGCATGTGGGCATGTGTGTGTTTATTTGGTTTTCTACAGCAGTGAGAAATACAAATGAAGGTTCTTTCTGCTACAGGCTCGTACATACACAGAGTAACAGATTTCTCCTTACAACAGAGGCATCTCATTACATTGCAGAAGAGACTGCCACTATTAAAAGCTGATTTAGTGCTTGCCATTTCCAGCTTTTAAGTCTGCACTACAGTTTGACAGCAGTAGCCTTTGTGAAGATGAAGAAAGAATATCATCTGCATTGCAATTTATTCAAGCAGTTCAGTGCAATGATTAGTACATTTGTGGCGCGAAAATGACTGGAGATTGAAGTAGTAAGAAAACTTGTTATTACTCTTCAAAACTGTGAACAGAATCAGTTTTGGCAATATAAGATCTACTGGGCAAACACCTTGATGCACTTTGTGACCTGAAGGAATCAGTTCAATCCATGCACTGCATTTATTCTTCCTTTGTTTAATAAAATTATATTTGTTTCCTTTGTTTAATAAATGAGTTTTTAAATTTATTATAACAGGTTTATTTTTTCTGATCCGTCAGCACAGTCAGGACTTGTAATAATAACAGCAACTTATCTTTGTATTCTTTATGAATTTTATTTCCAAATTGCATTCAAATCTCAACTTTGCACAACATAAGCACCACCACCATCATATCTGGATGAATGTTACGTAAATATGCGTATAATACTGTATAACCTACTTAGCAAAATGAATTTATAAATTCTGTGTTAGTGCTATGCTTGCAAGTCAAAAGACTGAAACTTGATCAATCAATGAAGATCAACCGATCTTCAGGAAAATAATTAACAATAAAAACCAGAAACTGAAGTTGAAATCAATCAGGTTAATCACAAATACAATTCATTTTAAATTGTTTTGATGTAAAGTAAGTAACCCTATCTTCCAGAAATGTCTTTATGCTTGTGTGTACTGCCACGTGATTACTCAAAACAGGGACACCTAAAGGGTAGCTTGCATTCTGTGAACACGGGACTACTTTCCAGAAAGGCCCTTTCCCTATACCAGACCACAAAGGACTTTTTTCTCAGTGCTTTCATGGTAATTATATAGCAACATGAAAACAGGACAATGACTTCCCCACTTTGCCAAAATTGCCTAGTTTTAACCACGAGAAATGAAGGAAACTATTGAAAGCAGCTGAATCAACATCAGCATTCATATATCTAGCTGGGGTTTGTTTTCTAACTGTTTTGCCTTATTAAACTAAAGGAGAAATACAGCATTTTATTTCTTGAACCAGAAATCGCACCACAACCAGTTTCTTTGAACAGTTGCAAAATCACTCAGAGAGATTTTACAGAGATTTTAGTAAAGAAAAAATAAATTACCCAAGTTCATTTATTAAGTCTAAAATACTTGCTTTTGCTGTCATGATGAGAACCACATACTGTAAGTCAAACCTCGAATTCAACTACAGCTGTGGTTTCCAGCCTCTAGGTGGAAACAACCTATTCTACGTGGATCCTGAATATTTTTCAGAATAGGTACAGTCACCTTTCTCAGAGCCCTATCACTCTTAACAGTGCATAGATTAAACACCATTGACTACAGAAGAACAACTGAAATCAGACACCAAACTGAACTCTCAGGTTAGCCATCCGACATTATCTTTCAATACAATGGACCAACCATTGCTCATCTGTGGAAGTCTGGACAAGCAGGCCAAAAGGGAGTTGCAGCTAGATTCCGCAATATGTCATGACATCCACCAGCCACCCTTACTCTGGTGTGAAATTACTCAAGAGTGATACACCCACACTTGAATTGATAGATGTTAACACCCCTTGCCCTTTGGCAGAACTCCCCTCACAAATCTAGCAAAATTATAGCTCTCTGTGATGGTAAATAAGAGACTGAAATTCAAAATAAGATGTGTAATGTAGCTTTGATGCTTCTTTTTTCCACATTTCTGCAGCTACTAATTAACATCTCCATGAAGAGTCATCAGTGAGGATGAAGAACTTGATAAGAAATTAATTTTTAAGGAACCTGAAGGCAAAGAAATTACTCTAGAATAAGACAAAACTATTTACATATTTTTATATATAAGCGTATCTTATGCCTATATGTAAGACAGACATACATACATGTATACAAATAACAAAATCCTAGAAGAAAAATCAAAATTCAGAGTAGAAACCAAACCCAAAAGGATCTAAAGCCAAAGCTTGCAAACCCTCGTCTTTGTGACTCACCTCCTGGGGTATGTTCCACGCCATATAGACATGGCTCTTAAATTCATCCATCCAGACTTCAGCCACCCTTAGTGCATTTCTCCGGACATGAGCAGTGAGATCTTCTGTGTATGGTTTATGTGCTCTTTCAATGTGGGCAATCCTGGAGCAAGGGAGAACCTCAACACTTCCTCCACATTGCCATACCTAGGAGGAAAAAAGACATTCTGCTAGTGAGAGCTCCCTACACCACTGCCGTCCTTCAGTAAATGCACTGAAATTATTTTATTTCTAAGCTTGTCATTGTTACAAAGGAGAATAACTACTCAAGACTTATTTGACTATACAGAGGGTTTCTTTAGACAGTTATGAGAGGAAAGAGTTATTACCTTGCCTTACCATGAATTATTACTGCTACTTAACCTTACTAGAGAATTATTACATTACCAGTAGCCTCTCATCACAATCTTCCTGGAACAATTTAGCTATTCTCAAGATTATTAATAAAAATATTTATAGGGCAACCAAAACAATAGCATCTGTGTTCAAGTTTTAATGCCTTGCAGACATTTCTCTCAGACTGTCCACAGTCCATCTCAATGCATACACGCGCTACTCAGAATCTTGAACTAGCCAGCCTTACATAAAAGGGAAACTAAGCCAATCAACTTTTTAAGATCACCAAAGTTTCAGGTTCTAGGAAGATTAGGAATATAAATCGAATTTACACTTTGCTTTAAACACAGCTCAGAAAGGATCAGTTTTATTTCTTGTGACAAGGAGTGACAAAGACTAAGACTGCCTAGCAAAAATGTTCTACGAACAATTTCAACATACACTATTCTTATGAATTATAATACGTTTAGAATGCAGGTTACTGTACCTGCTTAAATGTGTTTCAGTTTTGCCCACTACCGCAGCTGGAAAGGTCCATAATGTTAATCGTAAGTATTGCATTCATTTCTGTTTTTCTCTCTTTCTGCTTTCAATGAAAAAGAAAACCACTTTGGCAGCCTTAACAGTCAGCGAAGTACTTGAATTATTCTACATAGAAGCTCTTTTTCTGTGTATCCTGTATTATGTAAACTTCCTAACAAGATCAAGGCAGCCCATTCGTAATGGTTGAGTGGACACTGCTCAGGTGAAAACCCAGATGTACTCAAAATTTTAAAGCTGAACAAGTACCTCAATGTCCCAGAAGCAGGTGTACTCACTGAGAAGTGACATAGTTTGCCTTATGATACTGCTAGTAGAGATTCCTGAGGCTTGATAACCCGTACCAAGAGAGAAAAAAAGGAGAGCGAGGGTGCTCCTTCTTCATACAGCTCATCCAGAAGAGAGTATACTCTGGTCTCCCTCCTAGTGGTCAGGGATGTGGGTTGGCAGAACATCATGTTCTGGAGCTGATCTCAGACACCTCAGGTCTGTCCATCCTACAGGCATATGCTCTACTAAGGATGCACTTTGTTCAGTCATTCATTTTATATATTTAGACATCTGGCTTGAATACAGTATTTAGGCATTTGGCAGCTCCTGAGACCAGAAAATGTGGCATGGATTCAGAATGTTTACAAAGCCTTTTCTGAACTGGTGCCTAATTGCATTCAGCATATGCTGGGAGAAGAGATAGAGCCTTGGTTTTCAGAGCTCTCCGGAAGATGAGCTATCCCACAAACCTACTGTACAGTTGAGAAGGGAGCTGAAAAAGACTTCAGCATATCTCTGTGTCCAGAACTTGGAAAATGGTAAGAGTAAATAAACAGAACCATTACCAACATCAGGGCAAAACTGAGATGATCATAAATGTTTAAAAATAAATGGGCAATTGATGTGGCATAAGACTAAATAATCTGGAAACAACATTTGTGTTCTGTCTTTCTAAACATCATATAAAGCGGGAAATCCACTTTAACGATCTAATAAAAATAATAGTTTGTCAAACATTTAATTCTAAATGGTTCAGCTATATTTCCTAATAAAGATTAAATGTGAAGTATCATCAGGCTTTGTTCACACAATGCCTGCTTTTAGTCCAAGCCATTTCTCAGTACAGCATCGACATCCAGCTATAAATTGTTTCAGAGTTACGCACTGTACGCTGTTTAAATTAGTATCACAGAAGATATAGAGATGGTCATAACTTAGCCTGGGACAAGACAATTCACATACTGCATGTGCTGCCTACTCTGCCTAGCCTTTGCTCATTTTAACTAGGGATGGCCTTGATCCAAGTCCAACATGTGAACACCAAAACTTTTGTGGGATGTCAGAGTTAGGTCTGAATGCGATCTTGACAACAAGCTGAGCCAAAAATTCATGTCTACAATAAGCGGAATTTCCAAGTAAATTTCTGGGATCTGAAAATCTGAAGAGCAGACTTATTTATAATTTTAGTACTGATTCAATAATCAGTAAAATCTAATATAATGAAGTCATATGTGTTTTCAAAAAACATCCTGAGACGACAGTGTCTTTAATATAGTTTGTAAATAACAATTACCCACTACCTGAATAAACATCAATTAATCAAAGCTGGTGGCCACTCCTTTCTCTCAGACACTGTCAGTCTTTGTTCTAGTTCCAAAGACTAATTAATTACTCGGCAAGAACCATGGATTCACTTAAAAACTTAATGCTAAGAGGGACTTGTCAATACAGATGCTGACAGAACAGGCAGGTTGTATTAAAGAGCTTCCAAACAATATCCTATTATTTCTAAGCAAATATCTCCTGCAATCCCTGAAAACGTGATTAGCACACACCAAAACCAGACTAGAGATATATGGCTAGTAGTTTCCATATATCAAGACAAATAAAAGTCCTTTAATTAATGATTTTTTTAAAGAGGAAGACATATGAAACACATGATCTGAAGATGCGGGAATCGTAAGCTACAGTGTATGCAGAGTTTGCAGTTACAGCACTAAACAAGCAGCGCTACCCTGAGTCGTAGGCTACAAAGCCTTGCAGAGCACTCGCAGAGTGAAAGCAGATGCAATACTTTATAAGGGCAGAAAGCACAATCCTGACTTGCTCAGTTGGTCACATCCAGGACAAGCCATAGTACCTTTCTCTCCCGCAAGCATTCTTTGCCTGTGGGATTACAGTATGGTGAGAAAGCTCTTTTCTCCAAACATTTGCTTGCACTTAAGGAGAGGCCAGTTGCAAAGGAGGAAAATGTAGGCAGGCATTGAAGTGGGATTTTCAAACGGCATGAAATTCTCCTGGAATCTCAAGGGATTCTGGATTCCCAACTCCCCAAAACGTGCAAAATCTCCAGCCAAGGAACGAAGGGCTTTGCTAGTCATACTCTAAATATTAAACACTATGCTGAACAGGATATGTGAATACTAAACAATATAACATGATTAACTGACTGCTACAGAAAGTGTTAGGTTTTTTTCATTCTTCCCTGATTATATTTGAAATAAAGGAATTTCTTGCAGCTAGGTCAAAACCACCCATCCACTTTTTCTTCCTTTCCTTCTTAGACCAACTGTCTACTTGAATCTGACCACTCCTAGCTCCCCCCATCTCCTTTACTCATGTAAACAATTCCATGGTACTTCAACCATTGTGTTGGAGCCATTCTGGATGCTTGGATGGTTTTTCAAGATATCTTGAAAAGGCGTCAACCTCACATCAGAAGTGCACAGGAGAGACTCACTAATTACTCTGAACCAACATCTTTTGGTCAAAGACAATTTTTAGGTTGTTTTTTTTTTTAATTAATATTTTAATACTAAGAAATATATTTTCTTAAAGACTCAACTCAGAGGGAAGTTCAAAGCCTTTTAGAGTGGTTTGTTCTTCATCTAATAAAATTCCTGTAGACAAGAGATTGTCTTTAGAGTTAAGAAATAGGAACAGCAATTGAGGGGTCAATTCTTCGTGCCTTTGCATGCTTCCCCTGTGAATTTCACAGGTCTTTTTTTGCCGTCACTAGGAATCTTTATTCAGGCTTCATCCATAGTGGATAGCACCTTTCCAGTTCTCCAGCACTGTTATTTTATGTGATGGCTATAAATAAATACAAAGGTTTAAAATCAGTGAAGCTTTACCAAATTATCACCCATGAATTTAGTAGGAACTCTAAAGATAAAAGAGCTTCAAAGACTTCTTTTAACCACACGGAATGGTTTGAAATAAAATGTTATATCTCTAAGCATACTGTCACTGCAATCAGTAATACTTAATGACAAACCCACTCGTACAAATTGCAAGGAAGAAACTTGATGAATTACCTAAACTATGGTTAAAAGAAAATACAGCACCTTTTCCTGCTGCTCATGAAGTTGTTTTACCTACAGTACCAAGCGGTAGAAATTGCTAGCAATAGTCTCAATTTCCTGCCAAATCCCTAAACATATATATAGACTTGCCAAAAAAACCCATATGCTTCCATCATTGTGACACAATAAATAGCAATTCACGTTTCATTCTGCAAAAGCACCAATTGCAACACTGTACCAATGGGTCTCAGGCTTTGCCTTAAGGCAAAGACCTTGGAAAGTTTTCAAGTGTGAGGGACTGTGTATCTTTGGGAGTACGTAGCATGATTGCTGGAGCCCCAACAATGCAGAAAGTTTGCTTTTCTTTGGAAGAATTTCTTGAGGTTCTAGTCCTGCTGGTTCACTTTGCACAGTCTTTTAGAAAAAGAACACACCGACTGGAGTTTCTCTTCCAAAGAGCTCTCACAACCCACTTCAGTGTGTTTTCAATACTCCTTTCCAAGAGTACCTTAGAAAGGGCTCTTTATTCTTGAATTTCCTGAGGAGGTTCATATATTTGGTATAGGCCCAAGAAAGGCTTAGAGGGCTTCCTCCTCTTGAAGGGGTTCCTTCATCACTAGCAAAAGGTAGTAAAATTCCATTAAAAAATTCAAGGTGTAAAGGGATGGTAGCAGTGCCAAGGTGACTTCTACCACTTACAAAGCTGAAAGACTAAAGTCAGCGAAGCCTATGACCTAAAGTAAGCAAAGCAAGTGGGAGATGATAGGAACATTAAATGAATACAGCAAATCTATTTTGGGGAAAAAGAGGCGGGGGGGGGGGGGGAATCTCCCTGTTAAGTCTTACGTTGCCACGACTTACGTGAAGAATTTGTCCAAGCTCTAAGCACTTCTTACTGCTAATTTACTGAAGGTACATTAACATGTAAGCTATAATTATGGCTCTACATTAGTGTGAATTTATGTTCACCAAGGT